TGGCTGAGCGAGGTGCGGGCGCAGCACCAAGGTTTGCGATCCCGTTGCCAGTCCCGGTCCGGTACGGGCGCGACACTGAGGGTTGCGATCCCGTTGCTGGTCCCGGTCCGGTACGGGGGCGACACTGAGGGTTGTGATCCGTTGCCGGACACGGAAAAAGACAAAAAGAAAAAAAAAAAGAACTGAAAGCAGGAACTCAAACAGATATTTGTATACCCATGTTCATAGCAGCATTATTCACAACAGCCAAAAGGTGGAAGCAACACAAATGCCCACTGATGGATAAATGGGTAAAGAAAATGGGGTGTGTACATAGAATGGAATATTATGGGCCGGTCCGGTGGTGCACTGCTACAGTGCGCCGCTTGGGAGCATGGCGGCACTCCCGCCGAGGGTTCGGATCCCACATACAGACCGGTTCCCGCTCACTGGCTGAGAGAGGTGCGGGCGCGACACTGAGGGTTGCGATCCGTTGCCAGACACGAAAAAAGACAAAAATGAAAAAAAAAAAAAAAAAAGAATGGAATATTACTCAGCCTTGAAAAGGGAGAGAATCCCGACACATGCTACAGCATGATGACCCTCCAGGACATTATGCTAAGTGGAATAAACCAGACACAGACGGAGAAATATTATATGATTCCACATACATGAAGTACTTAGAATAGTCAAATTCATAGAGACAGGAGGTAGAATGGGGTTTCTAAGTCACTGTAAAAATAAAAGGAAAGAAGAAGAAGTAGAACGCTGCCTCTGCAGGGGTTGTGGGAGGAGAGAACGGGGAGTTAGTGAATGGGACAGAGTTGCATTTTGGGAAGATGAAAAAGTTCTGGAGGTAGACAGTGGTAATGATTGTATAACAATAATGCTCCTGAGCTGTATATTTAAAAGTGGTTAAAATGGGGGCCAGCCCGTGGTTGTGGTGCTGATAACACCAACGCCACGGGTTCGGATCCCATATAGGGATGGCCGGTTCGCTCACTGGCTGAGCGTGGTGCTGATAACACCAAGGCCACGGGTTCGGATCCCATATAGGGATGGCCGGTTCGCTCACTGGCTGAGCGTGGTGCTGACAACACCAAGTCAAGGGTTAAGATCCCCTTACCGGTCATCTTTAAAAAAACAAAAAGTGGTTAAAATGGTAAACTTAATGTTATGTATATTTTACCATAAGAAAAGAAATTAAGACAGTATCACACTAAACATACCACTTCTCACTTTTTATGAGTACTTCCCCAGTCAACATGATGATGTGATGTTAATGGCTGCAGAGCACAACAGTACCTGGATTGTCAAAGTTTCTTTAGATAATCCTTTATCTAGGAGCATTTGGATTCTTTTTTTTTTTTGTCTTTTTTCGTGTCCGGCAACGGATCGCAACCCTCAGTGTCGCGCCCGTACCGGACCGGGACTGGCAACGGGATCGCAAACCTCGGTGCTGCGCCCGCACCTCGCTCAGCCAGTGAGTGGCCGGTCTGTATGTGGGATCCGAACCCTTGGCGGGAGCGCCGCCATGCTCCCAAGCGGTGCACTGTAGCAGTGCGCCACCGGGCCAGCCCCAGCATTTGGATTCTTAATTGAGTTGTTAAACGATACTTCAATAAACATCCTTGCTCAAATATTTTTGTGCACATCTGATTATTTGATTATTTCCTAAGAATAATTCTTAGAAGTACACAGTTTTAAGGCCATGGGTAATATATTTGGGTTACCCTTCTTATCTTCTAGAAAGGTCCTGCTGATTTATACTCCCTTCAGCAGCATACAGGACAGACTAATACCATATACCCTCAACAACTCTGGGTGTTCCTTTTCCTGTCTTTTTGTTATTTTTATGAAATTTTTTAGTTATAAAAATAATACATGCTCATTTTGAAAAAGCAAAACAATAGGAAAATTTGAAAAGGTGAAAACAGAAGGCCTCTGACACCAAGCCCATTCTTGCACAGTTAATTTGATAAACATCCTTCTGGAGATTTCCCCATACTTTCTCTTTTTATAAATGGTGGATACTAGTGACATTGAGCACCAGGATGTTGATGGCCTGACACCTCCCCAGGTGGTGAGGATGAGAGGTGCTTGGCAACTATGTGGCTCAGTGCCTGGCACGCAGTAAGCCTCGATCAGGGGTGCCCAGAATGGCCTGCTCCATCACAAAGGCTCCAAAGACTGGAATAATCCATACAGAATCAGTCTTCATTTTAAATATGTGGCTCAGTGCCTGGCACGCAGTAAGCCTCGATCAGGGGTGCCCAGAATGGCCCGCTCCATCACAAAGGCTCCAAAGACTGGAATAATCCATACAGAATCAGTCTTCATTTTAAATAGGGACGCACACTGCTCCCCTGGCCTTCCTTAGCCCATGGTCTGCAAGTTCTCAGGATCTGTCCTCTCATTAGCATGGACAATGAGGAGCCTAGGACCACTCCTAGGAGTGACAGGAAGGGGAGAGCTCCCAGGGACACAGAGGGGCCGACCGCAGCTCTTAATGACAGAAATCAGAACAGCCAGCTTTGTGAAATGCTCAGTTTGTGCCTGGCATCATCCCATCTGATCCTCCTGGTGGCCCTATGTGTAATTTTCATTTCCTCCATTTTACAGAGAAGAAAACTGAGGCTCAGAAAAGTTAGGGACCAGTAATGACCCTAAGGTCATATGGCTGGTGTCCAGGCAGGGACTTGGAACCCATACCTATTCTGACCCTGAGCCCAGGCTCCATGACTAGACTTGACTGCCCCTCTCGAGGGGTGATTCTCAGCACCCTCCATATGTGACCTACAGAGAAGACTGCCTACTCTGTCAGCCCACTCAGCTGAGCACTGTTCTCATGAGCCCCAACCCTCCCCATCCCGCAACTCACAAGCAATGTCACGTCGCCGGAGGTTCTCAGTCTCCTCCTGGGTTATGGACATCAACTGTTCCATTCTTATTCTAGAAAAAGAAATCCATCTATTCATTCAGCAAATATAACATCTCCAACAGGGAATCCCATCAGATGACACCACCTCCTCCAGGAAGCCCTCCCTTTTGCGCCAGCCTAGACACACTCTCTGAATGCCTGCTGCATCACACACATCCCTTGGGGCCCTGCTAACCTTCAGCCTCATAGTTAGAGTACCTTGCATAAAAAGATGAATGGGCAAAGGATGCAAACAGCCAATGCTTAAATACAAGTGACTGATAAACACATGGAAAGAGGCTTAACATCAGTGGTAACTAAAGAAAGTAACATCTTTTTACCTATCAGGTTGCTGGTGATGGCAGTGATGGTGAAAAATGGAAACTTTCATACACTGCTAAGAGGAGTGTTACCTGGCAAAATGTTTTGTGGAAGGCAAGTTGGCACTTATCAAAATGTCCTGTGATTCAATCTGCTCTGCTATGAAAAAAAAAATGTCCTTTGAATATTTCCTTCACCTGGGGCTGGCCGGTTGGCTCAGCTGGTTACAGCATAATGCTGATGAACATTTCCTTCATCTGACTGCATAAGGGTATATTTAGAAGATGTTCGCTATAATATTGTTTATAATTATGAAGAACTGAAAACAACTTAAATGTCCATGAACAGAGGGCCAATTAAATAAATTATGATATAATCATATAGTGGATACTCTACACTATTACAAATAATGAGGCTTTTGGCATGAAATACATTCATGATATAAAAAGTGAACATAAGAAAGGTAATTACACATAGCTATGTGCATGCTGCGTGTGTGTGTGCTTTTTTTCACATCAAATTGGTAACGATGGCTTGGAAGGAACATCCTTGACTGTTTCTGCAGGGTCTGACCTCATTGGAAGAAGCACGTGTTGTTTGAGTACCTCTGCCTCCTGCCCAGGACCCCAGGCTGCTCAAGGGAACATGGTATCTCGTGTATCGCTCTACCCTGGGCCTGGCTTGGTCCAGCACAAACAGGGTGCTCGGTCAGTGTGTGCCGAATAAATGATGTCATTGGCCACCACTGGCTACCTCCACACCACAGCTGAAGCAGGCAGAACAATGAGGCTACACTCTGACCCCAAGAGAGCATCTGCAGAGGCCTTCCCAGGCAGCCAGGAGCCTAGAAGGCTGGGCTGATGGGAGAGAGGAAGCTTCCCCAAGGGCAGCTCAAAGTCCATGCTGCTATTTTGGGATCCCGGAGAACCAGGAGGGATACACGTCAATATTCCAGGGAAGGGGAGGGCAATGGAGTTCGTCCCTCCCCCATCACCTTTTCTAATTACAAAAGTGGCATGCCTCAGTGCAGAAAACTTGGAAAATACAGAAAACACAAAGGGAAAAAAACAAAGATCACCATCTATAATTCCTGCCTCTCAAAAATGTTCAGTGTTAACATTAGGGGTGGTTCTTTTGCTTTCTGCACACACACATAGGCAGAGTATCTTTTAAAATGATATACTGGCAGTTCTGCTTTAAGTGCAGCCCACTGCTTTTCCAGTCAGCTATATATTGTGAGTGCTCTCTCTTAGCAAGGAATATTCTTCTACAAGATATTTAATGGCTGCAGATTACTTCTTTATACATAATTTACATAACCAGGGGCCAGCCCATGGCTCACTTGGGAGAGCATGGTGCTGACAACACCAAGTCAAGGGTTAAGATCCCCTTACGGGCCATCTTTAAAAAAAATTTAATAATAATAACAACAACAACAACAACAATAATAATAATGTACGTAACCAGATTCTTTTTTTCCCAGAAATGTGAATTTTCCCCAATTTTCTTATACTAGAAATACAATAGGCCATTATACATCAAATCTTATTCATGTCTCTGAATTTTTCTCAGAAGTGTACATGTGTTTTAAGGAACTTGAAGGCAGTGATTCTTTTTAATTCAATATTCTCTGCTTGCTCTTGCCAATCTCGCCATGTGATACTCTGGCTGTCACGGGTTTCCCACCCAGAAGAAGGCCCTCACTAGGTGCGTCCCTGGACCGTGGACTTCCCAGCCTCTGAAACTAGATCTTGGAGGACATACATGAAGATGACTGCATTACAAGAAAGGAGGAGCCCGGGTCCCTGGGTGACACTATGGGGCAGAACCCCATCACTATTCTTTTTTTTTTTTTTTTTTTTTTTTTTTTTTTTTTTTTTTTTTTTTTTTTTTTTTTAAAA